GGGCTCAAGCAGAAAGCAAATGTTTTGAGAATGATGGTGGCAACAAATGTACAAATGTGCATGACACAATGGATGGATGTATGGATTGTGATAAGAGTTAAACGAGCCCCCAATAAAATGATTTATTAAGAGGGAAAAAAAAGGTGCAACCTCATTAGAAGCAAAAGACAAAAAAGAAAGACTTGTGTTTGACACATGGACGTGTGGATGGATTGCGATAAGAGTTGTACGAGCCCAAAATAAAATGATTTTTTTTAAATGCCTCCCAAATGCAAGTCTTGTATATTACAGTTTAGAGTTGGGAGCTGGTCCCCAAAGGACACCTATGCCTGTGAAAATGTGTTTAAAATAGAGATAATAAATTTCCAATTTAAATACAAAATAAAATCCAGCTTATAGGAAGAGTATATGCAAATACACCTGGGTTCGATGAGTATACGGTAGGAAGACGGTGCAGGTCTGTCTCCCTAAAGGACATGAGGCTTCAGGCCAGGAAATCTCTGAAGCTTCTACCAGAGGATCTGCTAATGTGTTTTCCAGCTGACTTCTAAAGAAGAAACTAACAATACTCAAAACATACCTTTAGCTCTTTAAGACATACTGTGTTCTACAAGGAACTGAAGCCATTCTCTCTAACTAGGAGGAGCATCGTTCAGTGACCTATACACAGGATCCATACGGACGATGTGCTACAGCCTAGCTATCATGCAGGTACTAGAAACAAATTCTTCTGAAAACTTACCACTTGGTTGGCGAAGCAGGTTAAATATAAGGAGGAGAGTCATAATCAGAGAAGACAACAAACGCTGTGTCAAATAAGAACACAGAATACAATAAGGACTGACAAAGGGTTCACTGAGCTAAGTTAGTGAAAATGTACGGAGAAGATAAGGCCTGAGTTTGTTCTTCAGGAGAAAGAGAAATATTCCAGCATTTTTAAACCGTGGGACCAATGCAGGCGTCTTAGCAGGAAAGGCCACCAGTTCTCTACCACGACCAGATAGTAAGAGACCTTGGGTTGCTCACTTACTGCCATGTATGGCCTACACCCGGCATCTCTTGTCTTGGCGATGGAGTCCACAAGCTGTCCACTGATGCCAAAGTCACAGAGTTTAATGTTTCCACTTCTGTCCAGAAGAATATTGGAAGGTTTGATATCTGTAAGAGAGAAGATGTATTTGGTGTACACAGGTGGGGAGGGGGGAGGGGCGGGGGGGAGGGGAGAAGGGAGGGATCTCTTCTACATCTAAGTGGTCAAGTTCTACAAACACAGGCATTTAAGGAGCAACAAAACTTCTGATTAATCACATGCAATCGCTAACTCATTTGATTATGCAACTTTAATGGCTAGGATTGCATAAATGCAAAGCCATTTTATCAACATCTTAATCTAAAAAATGTGAATGAGGATGTTTTTTTCTTAACATCTTTATATTTAGAAAAGATCAACAGAACTGTTTTTTTCTCTAGTAGACATGAAAGCAATTTTCTGAATGCTTCTGCTTAAAACTAGGTATGAAAAATGTATCACTATAAATTCAAATGTTTTCTTCGTCCTCTGTATTAATTTTACTTTTTAATTGATTTCATACAAGATTTGTAAGCAACAAAGGAGAAGCCACTAAATTACTTGCTCATTAATTCTCCATGCCTATCCTTCTATCCAGGAACCCTGATGGCATAGTGGGGTGGGCAAGGCACTGCGCTGCAAATCACAGGGTCCAGGGTTCAAAGACATGAGCTGTTCCACTGGAGAAAGATGAGGTTGCCTACCCACTTCTGTAAGGATTTAAAGTTTTGGAAACCCAAAGAGGCAGTTCTTCTCCTATAGAATTGCTGTGAGTTTGAATGGACTGAATAGCAATGTTTTGGTTTTTTGATCCTTCTTCCCATTTCATCATGACTCTCATGACTGAATAACAAGCATACCAAAGAAAAACAGACATGAAGGAAAAGTTTCCTGCTCCTAAACAGGCACTTACAAAGAGATGTAGACTCTTTTCAAGAGGTTGTCATGTTCAGACGGAACACCTGCGGCCACGGTTGTGACTGTCCTCAGAACAGCGCCATCTTACTAAGGTGACAGAACAAGCGAGTGGACTCTGAACCTGGGAGCAGCCCTAACTGTGGACCTATTTTTCTGTTACTTGCGATCAAAACCT